ATTGAAGTCCAGCCATCTTACAGGATGCTGGCTGGGGGATTCTGGGAATGGAAGTCCACCCATCTTAAAGAATGCTGGCTGGGGAATTCTCGGAGTGGAAGTCCAGAAATCTTAAAGTGGCCAAGACTGAGAATCACTGACCCAGAATATTCTACTGGATGTATGCTCTGCAGTTCCCTTCCCACATTATCACAACAGCCTTGTGAGGTACGTCTCTACCTTCATCCTTTCCTGCTTGCTTTAAGGTTGATCACAATATTCTCTTCTTGGCAAGCTGGCATCCCCCAAAGACGGAGCCTGTTTTTCTCGCCCCCTTGTCCCTTGGATACCTTTTATTATTTCCAATTTTGCCATGCCGTATGAGTGCCAAAATTTAGGAAAAGCCCTTCAGATACGCTTTTGACGTTTTCCATCTTTGGACACCAGCAAATTTTGAAAAAATTTGGACCCACGGATTCCCTTCTTAATAGCACTGGTGGCCTTCTATAATTTGCTTTTGGGTGGCACTTCCACAGTCAGATAGTCTTTCGCAGGGGAAAGAAAAAAAAAGACGGCCTAGAATTATTTTAAGTCAGCAGAAATAAATCTCGCCCTGGCACGGGCTTCCGTTCTGCACTGGCTTTATTCTGCGGCTTTTTTTTTCCCCTGGAGACTCCCAACTGCAAAAGGCTTACAAAATAAGAATTTATGGTTGAATTTATTATCTCTCCCAGCTTTGTGCGGCTCCTCCCGGTCTTGCCACGGCCCAACCCGCCTGCTTGTTTGCGTCCATCTTGCTTTCCTGCCCTCCGCAAAATGGCGGGTGTGTAACTCCTGAATGCCGGAGACCACGAGAGGGCAGGGGCTATTGTCGAAGAGGTGTGTATACATGTGTGTGTGTCTGTGTGTGTGTGTGAAACTGGCGATACTGTTGTTGTTCTCTCACACCCACTTCTCCCGGCAATGTACCCGAGACCCCAAGACGATGCACCTCGAGAGAGCTGAACGGCGCGCTGCCAGTGGCAAAAAATCCCAGATATCAGTGCCGTAATCCTTTCCTCCCCACATCCTTCGGTTAGGAGGAAAAAAACAAACAAACTGGAATTTGGTGTAAATTTCTCCCTCCCGAGGGATTTCTGTGCACCACACTCTCTCGTTTTGTGGTTGGGGTGTGTGTGTGTGTGTGCGTGTTGCTAGTTGCTACGGAATCCACGTCCCAGTTTGCTTCCTTAGCAAACAGGTGCTGCGAAACGGCTCCGTACCGATTTTTTTCCGGCTGCCGATTATTATTATTTTGTCCGTCTTGAGACTCTCGATGCAAAGACTAACCTACTCTGGGAGGCAGGGGGGGTTGCTTTAAGAAGAGCCACCCACCCACCCCCCAATTATCCCCAGGGTGGCCTCTTCCTCGTGACCTACCCCATCTCACCCCACCCCTCGCAGGGCTGGCGCGAAGGGGCGAAGCGTGGTGTCCGATGAATGGATCATTCACGGAGCTGTCAGCCGAACCAGGGAGCAGATGGCAGGGGGAATGAATGAAGTTGTTGTGTGGTTGGGGCAGCCCCGGCCAAGGAGCGCGGGGGTCGGATGAGGGATAGGGGGGCGTGGGGATCGGGGGAGGTGGCTGCGGGAAGGAGGGGGCGCAGAGGGTCTTTTGTTTTAGGGTTCATGGGGCAGACAACGGACATATTCAGGGATCGGTGTGCAAGGCAGAGTGGGTGGGAGTGTCTCCTTGGGCTTTTGGGAGGGGGCTGAGGAATTGGGAGAAGGACAGAGGGGGTGAGAAATCGGGTTGGTGGTCCCAGGGAGGGTGGGAAGGCCTGATGGGCTAAGGTGCCCTTGCTTAACTAAAGGTGGAAGCTGCAGAATAGGGGGAAAACAAGGGCGTCAGCCTGGCAGCCATAATGTAACGGAGAGCAGATGGAATTGGAAGGGATCTTGTAGGTCATCTAGTCCAACCCCCTGCCCAAGCAGGAGATCCTATATCATTTCTGACAGATGGCAGTCCAGTCTCTTCTTGAAGGTTATGATGGCGCTCCCACAACTTCCAAGGGCAACTTCTGTTCCATTGGTTGACTGTTCTCCCTGTCAGAAAGTTTCTCCATATTTCTAGATTGAATCTCTCTCCTTGATCAGTTTCAATCCATTAATCCTTCTCTGGCCTTCAGGTGCTTTGGAGAATAGCTTGACCCCCTTCCTCCTCCTCTCTGGGGTAGCCCCTCAAATATTGGAAGATGCTCTCCTGTCTCCCCTGGTCCTTCTCTTCCCTAGACTAGCCAGGCCCAGTTCCTGCAACCGTCCTTCGTATGTTTTAGCCTCCAGTCCCCTGATCATCCTGGTTGCTTTTTCTCTGTACTTTTTCTAGAGTCTCAACATCTTTTTTATAATGTGGTGATCAAAACTGGGTGCAGTACTCTAGGTGTGGCCTTACTAAGGCTTTATAGAGTGATATTAGTACCTCATTTGATCCCGATTGTATCCCTTTGTTGATGCAATTTAGGATTGCATTGGATTTTTTGGCTGCTGCTGCACAACATCGGCTCCTATTTAGCTGGTTGTCCACTAAGACTCCAAGATCTCTGTCCCAGTTCCTGCTATTGAGCCTGGTTTCATCCAGTCTATATGTGTCCTTTGGGTTTTTCTTGCCTGAGTGTAGGACTTTCCTTTTCTCTACGTTGAATTTCATTTTGTTGGATATGGCCCAGGGTTCAAGTCTGCCAAGATCCATCTGGATCTTGAGCCTATCTTCTTGGGTGTTAGCTATTCTTCAGCTACGCTCTGCAACAAGTCCTCAACTTACAACAACTCACTTAGTGGCCGTTCGAAGTGAACGACAGCACTGAAAAAAAGTGACTTGGGGACCGTTTCTCACACCTACGGCCATTGCAGGCTGCATGATCAAAATTTGGAGGCTTGGCAACTGGCATGTACTTATGACGGTTGCAGTGTTTCCTGGAGGCGGGGGTGGAGAGAGGAATCACACAATCCGCTTTTGTGACCGTCCGACAAGCAAAGTCAAGGCGGAAGGCGGATTCAACTCCACAACCGTGCGACTCACTTAACCCCCTGAAGGGACTCACTTAACAACGGTGGCGAGAAAAAGGCGTCCGATGGGGGCAAAAGTCAACTGAACGAAACGTTTTCCCCGAGCCTCAAAAATATTGTGGTCGAAAGTCAAGGACTGCCTGGAAACGAGGCTGTTGCTGAGGCTTCCCAGGTTGTGAAACCTGGGGCTTAAGGCAGGTTGATGGACCCAGCATCCTGTCGGAAGCCCGTAAACCACCAATGTCTGCTAGTTTGGCCCTTCCCCACTTCCCTTCTTCCCCGTACCTCTCCGGCCACGAAAAACAGCAGTGGGGTCTCTTCGTCTTTGGCTTTGTATTGGGCTATGATCTTCTCGGCAATCGGCTGGATCAGCTGCTTGGCCGCTTCCGATTCTCCGTCGTCGTCGGAATCTGAAACATTGGGGGGGGGGGAGAGAATGACATAAGAGGAGGAATGACAATCACGTTCCCAAAGGGGATTAGAGGAGGAAGGGAGAGAAAGGAGCGGGAGAGCGAAAGGAGAGAAAAGACAGAAAGAGAGGGAGAAAGGAGAGACAGAAAGACAAGAGACAGAAGAGAGAGAGAGAGAGAGAGAAAGGATAGGAGAGAAAGAAGAGACACAAAGAGAGAGAGACAGAGAGAGAAAAGACAGAGAGAAAGGAGAGAGAGAGAGAGAGAAAGAGAGAGATAAAAGAGAGAAAGACACAGAGAGAGAAAGAGAGAGGAGACAGAGAAAAGAGAGAAGGGAGAAAGACAGAGAGAAGAGAGAGAGAAAGAGAGAAAAGAGACAGAGAGAGACAGAAAAGAAA